TGGAAGTTTTAACTTTTAAACATGAGATTTTAAAAACAGCCCTAGTTTTAAAATCCTGGGCTTTTAATAAATGGAAAAGGGGGAAGCAGCATGAGGTGTAGAAGCAATGGAGGGCTTTGCCCATGGCTGCAGAACCTGGGGGAAGGCTCTTTGAAACCAAGGCCTCTGGAAAAAGACAGGAGTAGGTAGAAAGAAGATGGAGAGTCACCTGGCTAGTTTCCTGTGAGCCCGGACCACAAATCTTTTAGCCTTGAGAGCATGTCACGCAAAAGAAAGGTGTGCTGATGTCGGGTGAGGACATGAGTTGTTGGGAGACTGCTGCTTATCTCCCCCCTTAGTCCCGTTTCACATGTCACTGTTGAAGGCCTTCTGAACACCCAGCTGCTGCTTTATGTCATAGAGTCGCTGTGAGGACTCTGAGTTAATGCATGCAAAACATGGATAGTTTCTGCTTTCCTGCAAGCCAGCTTAGGGCTGTTTCCACAATGCCTGGCATCCCGTGAGAGTTTGGTACACGTTCGATACGTGAGTGAGAGATCTCTACCCCTACCAAAAGAAGTACTTGCCAAGGTTCATGGCACACCCCATTATTTAGTCCCAGATACTTGGGAGGTGGGTGTGGGGCAGTGGTGTGGGAGGATTTTTTTGAGCTCATGAATTCAAGGCCATCCTGGGTGGGCTATATGGTCTCTGCCTCAAAAAGAAAAAAAAAAACAGATTTGCGGTGTGGAGGGCTGGTGAGTCCTTCCTCTCCTGTGGGGACCACCTCACTGCATTGTTAATTTCAAGAGGATCAGCCCGCCGTGAATGATGCTGGTGCTGGTTAGTACAGCTTGTCCCTCTGCGTCTCAGCTCTGGGAACTCGTGTCTCTGTCATCCTGACCCCACGGGGACCTCAGAGTGAGAGTGGTAGAGCTTCCTGTCTGGAGATCTGCTAAACTGGCCATTTTGTTTGGCTAGGACAGGCTGGCACCCCTTGGTGTGTGTGTGTGTGTGTGTGTGTGTGTGTGTGTGTGTGTGTGCACACGCACGTGTGTACCTGTACTGTTGCAGGGCCAGCTGGTGGTAGTGGGAAGGCTCTATCTACTTTTCCCTGACTCATTGGAGACTGCAGGAAATGCAGCCAGTGGTGGCTTTTTGTCGGAGAATTTGCTCCTGCACGTCCTAACTCCATGCGGCTGGAGGAAATTGCACCTTGGACCGGGGCTAGGAATGCTGAAATCCCCAGTTCTTAGTAAGGGGGCCTGCATTTGCATGTGAAGTAGCGTTCGGGACACGGAGCCTGTGAGCTCATTTTATGAATCAGAGGCATGACAACATAACCTCTGTGTTGGAGGCTGCTCTTTGGAATCCAGATCACCCTCCTCCCACCCCTTCTGCTTGCACACTTAACGTGAGCTCTCGCAGTCACACTCTTGGGAACTGTAACAGTCGTGGAGGGGGGGGCATCAATTCAAATTCCAGAGCCATCCGGCCAAACTCATCCACACCCACCTCTGCCTCCACACTGGAAGGCCATTCCTGGATGGTGTGTGTGTGGACAGTCACCTGGCAGTGACTGAAGGAAGTGTGGCGGGTGCATGGGAATGACCCCTGAGCACCCAGGTTCATACTCCAGCTTCTCCACTTGCCCTGTGGCCTTGTGCGGCGCTTCATTTTCCCCAGCCTCAGTTTTCTCCTCTGTAAAATGGGGAGGAAAATAGTGCTTTGTACGGTGGCCGTAAAGGTGAGACAAGACTATGCATGCAAATTGATGGGCTGGTAGTAAGAAGGTTTGCAATAGGTGCTACCTATCCATAACAGGTCCAGCTCCTGTTCGCTTTTCTTCGCCCCTACTGGGGAAGAGGAAACGAAGGGTATCCTGCTTGTGGTAGGAAATCCGTGTCGGGATGTCACTGTCAGTTGCTCAAATGAAGCTTATTTTCTAATTCCTTAGGGCTTGGGTTACAACTGGTTCACTTCAGGCTACTCAAGTCCGTGCTGTTAGAAGAGACTGTCCCTGGACAGGAGGGTTAAGGACTCAGTTTCCCGGAGGTCACATTGTGCTCTGAGGAACCTGCCCTCCCAGGCTGAACAGCTCACCTGTGCTCTGACAGGGTGACCTGGATGGGGCTTTGGGTGGAGCAGGGGTGGCAGTTGTCCCATGCAAGACCACTTTGGCCCTCTCCCCAGCGGAAGTAAGAGCAAGGATGAGAAGCACTGAAAGAGTGTCTGGGAAGGAAGCCGCCACATGGAGAGATAACCAGGGCCGCTGACCCATCGCTTCCCCGGCGGGCGGGCGGGCGGGTGGCTGTGGCTCTTCCTCCTCTTCCTCACACGGTGGCCAGCCCAGGAGGGTGCTCCCCGGTCCCTTTGCCTTTCTCCCAACCAC